AATGACGATCAGTACCCTCTCGCCTGTCTGAACGTGTGTGAGTGTGAACAGGTGGCGCAGGGTCTCGGCCGAGAACTTCCGCGATAACAAGACAATACTCTCGCCCAGACTGGTGGAAACTAGGTTTTCAGGGAGAGCCACCCATTCGCTTTCACAGGCGGGACACCGTCAGAAGTGTAGGATTCTGATAGAAGTGTGTACTGCCAGCTGGCCTGAGAACTGGGTGGACTTTTGGACAACAGCACGTCGTTATGCGGTGAGCGATCAGTGCGCTGGGGAAGCCAGGGACGGGGCCTGTAGACGAGTGATTCATGCACTGCTGAGCGGCTTTGATTTTTCGGATATATCTTAGGTGCTATGAATTTGATCAATGTCCACGCACACTTCTTTGCTTGGCCAACGAAATTGTCAGTAGTCTGGGTCCACTCGGGTCGTTGTCTTGTATTCCCTGTTCACAACCAGCAAAAATAGGTGACTTGCACCATGGTAGCGCATCCACCCCATCAGCCTCCACCGAAGGGCACGAAACGCGGGGGCTTCGAAAAGAGGAAGGCTGTGGCTAAGAATAGGCGGAAGCGGAATATTTATGTGAAGGTGTGCTTCGTTGACGGCATCAGTCTCATGTGCCGTCATGGGAGTTCAACGTTCAATTCCGCGGCGATGTTCCTCCTCACGACCCAGATGAACCTGGGACGCTTTCTCGCACTCCGAATCGGCTAATTCATGATTGGAAACGAGTCTTTCTACGCAGCAACGGTTATGTTAGTAACCAACGCTGCAAACGTCTGGTCCAGGCCCTCTGCGGCCGTCTGCAGCGGCTCTGACCCGATCATGTTGGCCACCGAGGAGGGAAGCTGATAGAATATCTTCGTCCCATTCCCGTTCTCCATAACCAAAACCCGGACGGGGACGCCGTACGACGCGCGGATGTCGTACTTGACGATGGTGTCGGCGATGAGGGGGTTGCCGATGACGAAGAGCTTGAAGCGGGGTGTCGTGTTCGCGTTGAACAGCTGGAACCAACCACCGTGGTTATATTCCGCGAAGTGGCTGCAGTCTCGTGAGCTGGGAGGGAGCATTTACTGTCCGGCGTTGGACATGACTGACATCAAATCACTCGAGCCGACGGATGCAGCGACTCTCTCTTCCAGCACCGTCAGCGAAGATGCTGTGGAAAGGGTCGCGTTGCCGTTGACCGTTCCGATCATCGAGTATAGTCGCGTTGAGACCGTGTCGTAGTCGACCGGGGTCGTGACTTGGACAAGCTTCACGGTGTGCGGTGTGATTGACCAGTGGACAGGATCATGCGACCGCGACGCCGCCTGGGCGGGGCCAGGCTGAACACTTCTTCAGCACAGTTAGCTCCTCTCGAAGACCCAGGGGGCTCACGGTGGCAGCAACGATGGCGCCTGCAAGCCAAAGCAGAGCGACACAGGACTTGACGAGACTGGAGGTGGAGTGAAGCATTGTGGGGAGTCAACAAGCTGTGGTTGAGACAAACAGGGTGTGGCCCTCCTCTTGTAGTATTTTTTCCGGGGAAATATCATACTCCGAGGATGCGGTGATTGCTGCTTCGCGAAGTATGCTATCATCGGTTTAGATCGTTTCCATCCACCTGTCAGTGAGCAATCGTTTGAACAAGTAGAGGCTCACATGGGATGGATCCCAGTGGAATAAATATCGACTAATTCGCCCTGCAACTGCTGATGTCTCTCCGTCCACCCATTTACTGGTTGTGCTCAGGCACGCGCTGGAACATGTAGTCCGAGGCTGAAGACGGATTTTTGCGCGTGTGAGCGTGCCAACAGGTCACACATGGGTTTCGGCTCACAAGTCCGAAATACCAAGAACATGTTGCAGACACGGCTGGGATTGAGCAAGTGACAGGACAGGGAATTGAGATCAAGATCAAACTCAAATATCCAGGGGGCTGTGAAGGTCTTCTGTTGACGCAGGATCACGTGAACGTCTCGTGACCGTGACCGCCAAGTTGCTTTCGCTCCTCGACCGCCTCTCGTCCCGTTGGCTCGGGCTGCTCGAATCCAAGACACCACCTTCAAGCAGGTATCTTGGCCTTTACGAAAACGATTTCGTGGCTTTCTCTGTCCGTCCCGTCACTCATCGAGGTGAGAAGCGACTTTTCACCTGGTTTCGTCCACATTCTCAAAGCTCCGTGTCCAGTAGTCAAGGCTATCGCCACGCGCACGCTCAAATCCAATACCGACTTGTAATCCACTCGCGCTTTTCGATCGCAAACAGTCACGCATCTACCACAGAAGGCTTTCGCCGAGTGAGTGGGCTACGGTGCCGTATCACTCAAGTACGTCTTCCATTCCATATCGCTTCTAAATACAAGCCAAGAACCGCTATCAAGCTTACACTCTCGCTGTTCATAGTAATCAAGCATGTCCCGCCTTCCACGACCTCAGTCCTCGCCCGATCATAAGGGATTCGCGCCCTCGCTCAAGCGCAAAGCCGCTGCCACCGAGGAGGACGACACGATCGAAGACCAGCCCGCTGCGAAAAAGGCGACCGGGACCGGCTTCCGACCAAAGCCACTACAGGCTTCCCGCACCGCACCCAACGCAGCCACATCCACCTCTAGTAAACCCTCATCCAAGGCGACCGCTGTGTCCATGCCACGCCCACTGACGCGTCCCCGCCCGCCTGCTGCAGCACGACCAACGGCTGCGCGTGGGGCTAGTGCACCCGCCGCCGCCGGCGCGACGCGCAAGCCGGTTTCAGGGATCGGCTCTGGGCTCCCCTCTCGCCTTGCGACCACATCCGGCCCGTCGACATCGACCAATGCCACCATGAAACGCAGCGCGTCTGCGTCAGTCGCTGCGCCGGACGTCATCACGCACATGAACAAGCGCCTCGCCTCGCTGGAGTCGGCGCGGACGCTGGACGTCGAGCGCATCGCGGAGCTGATCGAGAGCAAGGCTTTGCTCGCCGGGGGCAGCGGCGGCAATGCGTCTGCTGCGTCGACGGAGCTGCAGACGGAGCTCATTACCGCACAGGCGCAGTTGGCGAGCACGAGCGTGCAGCTGAATGCGGCGCAGACTCAGCTGATGGCTGCCCAGACGCAGGCGGTGACGTTCCAAGCCGAGCTCAACGTAGCGAAGAGTGCGCTCAAGGCGCGCGACGATTCGGAGGCGGAGATGCGGAAAGAGGTGTTGACGCTCAAAGCCGAAGTCCTGTCGGGCAAAACGGCGATCGCGGCTGCGCAGGACGAGACAGGCGAGCTGCGACGGGCGATGGCAAGGGAACGGGAAGAGAATGAGATCCGTGTGCGGCGCGGAGAGCGATTGCTACGTGAAGCCAAGGACGAACTTGAAGAACGCGACGCTCGACTGACGAAACTCCGCGCCGAACTGGCTGGTGCTGTCGACGCGGAAGTGGGCCTGCAGGAACGATATCGTGCTATGACCGGACGCGTGGAAACTATGCAGGATGAGATCAAGGCTTGGGAGGAGAAACAGACGCAGTGGATTGCCGAGCGAGAAGCTTGGGAAGCAGAGCGTGCTGAGATGCGGGAGGAAGCGGTGAAAGGCGAAGAGGAGCGCCGCAAGTTGCATGGGATGGTCATGGAGCTCAAGGGCAACATTCGTGTGTTCTGTCGAGTTCGGCCGGTACTCCCGTCCGAGATCGACGGGGAAGATAATACAGTTGCTGCTCAGATCGCGTATCCGGACGCTGAGCAATCATACCCATCAGGGCAGAAGGAGATTGTGCTCAGTTCAGCTGGAGTTGAGCGAGAGTGGGATGCCGGCATGGGTAACAAACCACGCAAAGAAGTTTGGTCTTTTGGATTCGATCGTGTTCGTGCTCTTCCTGTCACCCGTTTTACAGTAAGATTGATCCCTCTCGCAGGTTTTCACACCTTCATCGACGCAAGCGGATCTGTTTGCGGAGATCTCTCAGCTTGCACAGAGTTGTATCGATGGATATAATGTGTGTATCTTTGCTTACGGTCAAACCGGAAGCGGGAAGAGCTGGACAATGGAGGGTGGTGGGGTGAGCGGCACAGCTTCTGGGCAGTGCACACCGGCTAACCATTGCTGCAGAACGATGAAGATCGAGGCATGATCCCTCGGGCTGTAGCTCAGGTCTTCCGGGTGGCCGACGATTTGAAAGACAAAGGATGGACCTATAGCATGGAAGGCCAGTTCTTAGAGATTGTGGGTATCTTCTCCTTTCAACGCTCAGGCTCTTTGCTCACACCTTGCGTAGTACAACGAAACGATCACGGACCTGTTGTCGGCCGCACCAGCTCCCGGCGAGGCACCGCGGAAGCACGAGATCCACCACCACCCCGTCACGCATTTGACATCTGTGTCGGACACCCAAACTGCGACGCTCACCTCGCCGACCCAGGTTATGGCACTGCTCGCACAAGCCCAGAGCCGGCGGCGAGTCGCGGCGACGCTGATGAACGAGCGGTCGTCCCGCTCGCATTCGGTCTTCACACTGCGGATCCGGGGCGTGCACGACAACGGGGAGGCGGAGCGTCTCGGCACGCTCAACCTCGTCGATCTCGCCGGCAGTGAGCGACTGGCGTCGCTCGGATTCGGGCACTCTGTCGCTGGGTCCGAGCGGTTGAAGGAGACGCAGAGCATCAATAAGAGTCTGAGTGCATTGGGGGATGTCATTGCTGCGCTAGGCAACGGGCCGGGATCACATGTTCCGTATCGCAATTCGAAGCTGACGTACTTGCTGCAAAACTCACTGAGTGGAAACTCGAAGACGCTGGTATTGATGCTCTTTGGATCTTAGCCGTTCTAGTTTCTGACCTGTTGTGCAGATGGTGCTCAACCTTTCGCCGTTATCGGCTCATCTGAACGAGTCACTGACGTCTTTGCGCTTTGCTACTAAGGTGTGTCCAGCATTACGCGAGTCGTACACGTTCTGACTGCGGTCAGGTCAACAACACGACGATAGGCACCGCCAAGAAGGTCCAAGTCAAACCCTGAGCTTTTGTCTTTCTTTATATGTATATGAGTTTGTATTGCGTTCGCTCTGTCCTATGTTACTGTACCCGTATTAAGTGCCATGTGACGAGCACGCGTGTTCTTTGTCAGCTGGGGGTGAAAAAAGTTGCGTATCAAAGTAGCCTGTGGAGGATAACAAAGGCAAAAATCTGCCCCGGAGAGACTCGAACTCTCGATCTTCTGATACCGACTGTTAACAGTCAGACGCCTTAACCAGCTGGGCCACGGGGCAGTGAAAGCTGCGTCCCACGTGGAATATACAACCTGTGAAACCGTCAGTCATTAGACACAATAGCAAACATGCCATCCATTTAGAATGCTTGCTTAGATCTCTCAACTCTACAGTCACTACTTGAAGGAGTTCGATCGCTCTCTTGGTATCCCGCATGTCCGTGATCTGCAGCACGTGCTCAACGTCAAGGTTTGTTCCCGGAGTACCCACACATCGTTACCGGACCGACTCCGAGTCTAAACTCTATCTCTACTCAACGTTGACTTCATACCGGACGGTTCCTTGGTTCTTCCACAACCTTCGTAGGATGTCGTTAATTCGCCGCTCCTCTGCTCTTCACGCGTGTCCGCGCGATCCTCGATGCACTACTGCCCCCAGCCATGGATCAGATGTGCCTCGCGGTGTACGCACTGCATCTTCCATTGTGATCGAGATTTGACTGACTCGATTCGAGGAGGATATGTCAGCCATTGTTCAGATAAGTACCGGAGATCGTGGGTCTTGGGCGCCTTTGAGGTTTGAACGGAGAGGGAGATATACGGTCCATCAGTATCGATTTTGCGTAGTGCATTTCCTTCATTTCACTCCCCCATGGAACTAATTCGTTCATAGACTCTCATACTGTCATACAAGCGGCCCACGACGTCACCTCGCCCTACCCACCCTGCCAATGAGGTGCGGTGAGCTTACATAGCCCACTTGCCTCGTCTACGCTGCCCATACATACTTGCTGCTGCTCCATCTCAATATGCCCGACGATTCCTCGGGTTCCCCGCAGCCCCCGCCCCAGACATCGAAGCTGGTGGTTCACGATGTCCGCCGAATCAGCCACGCGTCGCACGATAGTACCCGTTCATGGGTGCTCACCCAGCGGCAGCAGCAGCAGCAGCAACTACAACAACAGACTGGGGATCCCGAGGCTGTAGGACCCCGCCCACGTCCTGTGAGTCAAGGCAGTCGCCCGCTCCCCACACCGCCTCTCCGGACATATTCCGGTGCAGCACAGCGATTGACGGTCGACGACGAGATCGAGGGAGAGCACATGTGGGTCAAGCTTCCGGAGGCTGCGCAGGCGGGGTACGGGTTCGGCTATGGCCCGGAGGTGAGCCCGGGCATCAATGCGAAAGCGCAGAAGGAGATGGAGCGCGCGAGGGAGCGAGAGAAGAAGAGCCGCAATAACAAGGACCGGGCCGAGCAGAAGGCACAAGCTCCTGAGAAGGGCGCCGGGACGACCAGCTTCGTCGGTGGATTCGTATCCGGGCTGCGCCGACTCCCCAGGACGTTCGTCCGGAATCGGGCGCGGCGGGGGACGATCGGCACGGAGACCACCACCGCCGCGACGCTCCCGCAGTACGCCTCGAATCCGCCGACACCGATCGTCCCGCCCGCCTTCAACAATTCGCAGCACAGGAGCCGGAACAGCGAAGACGCGCGCATGCGCGAATCGCCCCGTGCGCAGTTCCCGAGCTTCCGCGTCGTGCCGCCGGAGGGCGACGCGCTGGGCGAGCAGGCGCAGGTCGTGCACGATCTGGGTGCGCTCGAGGCAGGCACGCCTGCCGCGATGCCTGGCGGACTGGAGCTGGCGCCCGATCCGATGCCTAGCACGGCCGACGACCACGCGTATCACCGGGATCGATCGCACCCCCAACAACGCGCACGAACACACACCCGGACACGCTCCCGGCGCATGTCCCGTCGATCG